TATCAAATAATACCGATTGACAAATCAATCGGGGGCAAATAATGACATTATTTGTTGCCTGTTGGCGGGCATTACGAATACAAATATGAATATGAATATGAATGTGAGTGTGAGTGTGAGTATTTGATATTTGATATTTGTTATTGTAATTATTATTGTGGCATGTTCTGTCGTTTAGTTGCTGCTCATATGCATACATACTTTGGAGGGTGGGGGATGGGCGAGGGGTTGCTTTATTGTATTCATCAGCCAACGCTCCCCTCCCTTTATCCATAGTTTTTTTCTTTCGTTTTTTGGTATACCTCCCCACCCACGCACCGAGTTATTAATTTCGTTATTTGCTCGACGTTCGTTTTATTTATTCATCAATTTTATCAGCACAAATTAAAAACAAATTAGTCGACAGTAGGTAAATAATAATAAAGTGTAATAAAAATCACAGACAAATCCAAGAGGGTGATGGGGGAGAGGGGGGGTGGTCGTGGTCGTGTATGCTTGATATGGAGCCAGCCATTGATAAGCATTCGAAACTTGATTCATTCAAATGGCAAAGCGATTACAAAGTTTTATTTATTTCAGCTTTTGTTTTGTTGTTGTTGTTGTTGTATTTGTATTTGTTTTCCTTTTTGCTTTTCATTAATTGCCGATTTTTATTTTAATGCCATTTTTATTGTTTTTAATGCGCTTTTAATAATAATTGATTTCTGATCAGAGCCAAGCGATAAAAGGGCCATTTCACGAACGACAACGCCAAATGGAAATCGTTTCAAAATTAACTTTCGATAATGTTTATATACTGTATGTATAAAAATATATGTACATAATGTCATTAATGTCAGATATCCCCAAGTTTATTTGATGTATACAAAAGAAAATATGTTCAAAATAAATATATATTTTAATTGTTATTTCATTTTTTAATATACTTTAATTGTTAAGCAAATGCTTTAAAAAATTGCTCCAAAGATTTTCTTCTACTTAATTTCAATTAGTCAAAAAATAACTTTAACTTAGACAAAGTTCTTTGATTTGCCCTTAGTGATTCCATATTATTTTTAAGAAAAACTTAAAAAATATTCTTTTTTTACCTAATCTATAGGAACAGCTAGGAAAAAATTTAATAATATGTTTAAAAGATGTCTCCATAACAATCTGGTACTACCTTTAGATATTTCTGGAACTGTTAATGTAATATATGAAGTATTCATGTCTTTAGTATAGTAAAGTGAATCATAAATATTTATACTCATAAGTATATTTATACATATAAGTATATGCAGTAAGTATATGCTAAACATATTATATAAATTTGAGACTTTATTGAGGACTTGAAATAATTAGAAAAAAATTAAACATCGAAAAAATACAACATTCCTTCTTATAATACTGACCTGAAATAATAATAATATAAATATGAATAATAAAATAAATAAAAAAATGATCATAATAACATTAAGTATAGAACTTAGAGATATTAAGTTCTACATGCAATAGAAGATTCATTGAACGAAAAATAAAAATAAAATTTAGGACTTCAATTATATGAAAAAAATGAGCTTTGTCTGATTTGGAATGCTCTACTCGTGTATACTTAGGATTTGGAAAACCTAAACAAAGTCCTTATGTATATAAATGTACATATACAGCTACTTAAGAAGAATCCCTCTATTCATTTTAAGCACTATAGGTCTTAAAAGATTTACGTAATGAATACTCATAAATAAAATATACTTATACATACATTAAAAAAAACTCAAATTGATTTCCAAATGGAATTTTATGGAATTTCAAGAGGTTCGAAAGATTTAATAATGCCCATGAAGGTTTCACAAACTCAGAGCAGTTACGATTATCGATTTGACAGCTGATGAGCATACATCAAAACAATATGAGAAATCTATATTTAGTTTAAGGAAGTTTGAGAGCTATGCTCAAGCACTTCCAGTCCACGTCCCGGTAGTTCCCAAACTCACAGTCAAATCTGTTACATATTAAAGTTCTATATTTGATTTATACATCATATATTCTATAAGCATTATCTATAGTTTAATTTTTCAAGAGTAGAATTCATTTGGGATGGAGTTAACTCGGGCATAAAACCCATAAAAATGGTTTGGGCCGTACGCAGTGGACCCGCTGTAGATGATTTCGCATGAATTCCAATTTGCTCATATCATGCATATTTTTGATTTACTTTTAATTACGTTTATCACTCGAAACAGGCAGGTGAGGGGGCAACACGAGAAATGCCTAAAGAAAATGACATTGAAACGAAAATGAAAATGCAAATCAAAAACAATATACATTATAATGATGATGCGCGAATAAGTTCTATAATGATAAATAAAATGAGAGCGGGCCAAATGTCAAAGTAAATTTGTGTGAATACCAGAGGGGGAGAGAGAGAGAGGAAGAGAGTTTGTGAGAGGGGAGTGGGTGGTATGAAACTTTGCAGAGTAAACTTAATAGAAAATCAAGCACAAGAAAATGGCGTACGATAAGCAGCCGAAACAGAAGAAGAAGAATAATAAGAAGACGATGAAGAAGAAGAAGAAGAAGAAGAGGAGGAGGAAGAGGCTGCGGCAACAGACACCAGCTAGAAGTAAAATAGAAAAACGAGAAAAACGCAACGCCCCGCAGCAAATTAAATGAAAATTTGTTTGTGTGTGGAAAAATCAAGTGAAAATTAATTGAATTGAGTTGAGTGCGGCGGCCGCTGCCCCGTTTATAGATTTTTGCTGGCCGATAAAAACGCTGACAATGAGCAAGAAGAAGACGAAACACTTTACACACAAAAGCCGAAGCACAGGAAGCAGCAGCAGCAGCAGCAGCAGAGCATCTATGTGTGTGTGTGTGTGTGTGTTTGTATTTGTGTTTGTGTTTGCCTTTTTTGCCAATCATAAGAGCGAAAGAAGTGAAAGACGGGGCGAATAGCTGGGCTGCAGCACAGCAAATGGTCAGCGAGGGCGGCAATTTGTGTGTGGGTATGCATCTGTGTGCGTGTGTGTGTGTGTGTGTATGTGTGCATAATTCATTTAAAAGACGCAAAAGTCGCAGCTGCGCAGTGTGCAGCAGCACAAGCAGCTACGCTAGCAGCCAGTGGGGCTGCTGCTCTGAGGCACCCAGTCCAGCTGCATATTTAAGACATTATTACATTATAATCGCATAAAACAATCAATAAAATGTCAGTTGACTGCGCCGAGCAGCGTCGTAACGGCTGGCAGCGACGCTGCCTTGCGCCTCAATTGCCCATAATCATAACGCCAGCGCAGGGCGACGCGTCCACAAATTTCCCAGTATTTATTTTGGCCACGCCTGTGTCTGTAGTGCTGTCTCGCTCTGGCTGCCGCGCCAACAGCAGCCGTGACGGCAACAGCAACAGCAACAGCAACAGCAACAGCATCTATAGCTGGTTGCCAGCTCTGCTCACTCACACACACGCGCATTCACATAAAAGCGCCAGTCTCTCACACACACACACACATACATATTCACTTTAAATCAATTTTTTTGGCGTTTTTCATTTCATTTTCACGACGTTCTCATCGCTGACTGTTGCGCCTCGCTCTCACTAGCTCTCTCGCTTTAACATGCGCGCACTGAGCCAGAAAAATACCATTATTGTGTTCGTGACTGTGCGAGTGTGTGCGTGCTGGCGTGTTTGTGTGTGCTTGGTGGAATGAGCAGCATGGCGAGTGGAAGAGAGCCCAGTGCCTTGGCGTGTTTGTTAAGTGAAACCATTTTTCTTTATATTGCAACGGCAGCAGCGACGGCAACGACGACAGTTGGCAGCGCTGCTGCCGTCGCTGCTGCGTTCGTTTTGTTATTTCTCGCTTTGGCGCACATAAATTTGAACGTTAATGATTTTTGCTTGCAGTCGCGCATGCGACCAGCAACAACAACAACAACAACTGCAACAATAACAACAGCTGGCCACAAGTGTTGAAAAATGCTCACGCTTGTTGTTGTTGTTGTTGTTATTGCTTGTTGTTTGTTGTTGGTGGTGCGCTGCTGCTGCTGCTGTTGCTGCTGCTGTTGCTGCTGTTTTGCAGGTGTCGCTTGCCATCTCACTTTTTAGCATGGACACAAACCCACCAATGCCAAGCAAAGCTGCGACACTTTTTGTTGTTGTTAGTCGCGCACACACACACACATACACACACACATATGAGGGTACGCAATTATTAAACAAATGCCACAAAACGAGCGTCGCCATCGCCATCGTCGTCGTCGTCGTTTGTTGTCAACGTCGCGTCGTCTGCGGTCGCTGCCGTTTTGCCATTTTCATTTAGACGTCAACTTTGAAGCGTCGTCGCTCGCCTCTGCTCCATCTCACTCTAGCTCGCTCTCTCGCTCTCTTTCTCCTGCCGTCTATTGCACGCTCTCGCTATCTCTCTCTCTCTCGCTCTCTCGCTCTCACTCTGTTGTTGCTTTCCGCGTAAATCAGCGCTGCGAAGCTGTGAGCGTAATTTTAATTCGAATCAATTTGTTTGTCGCCGCCGCGGCCGCCGCACAGTGGGTCGCCGAGTCTCACAGCAGCCAAAGGACTCGACGCGAGCATCCTTATCGTTGCGCCTGTCGTAGTGACGCGCGCGTGTGTGTGTGTGTGTGATGCAACAGTTGCCACCTGCCCCCCACACAAATGGATCAACTGCTCAAGCAGCTGGCAGCCGCTGCGCAGGCGCACTCCCAGCCTCCACTGCACCGCCTGCCCCACTTCGAAGGCGTGCACCCACATCCGCATCCATCGCCACATCCACATCCACATCCGCATCCACATCCGCATCCGCATGCTGCCTCCGCTTTGCAGCTGTATGCGGCCGCAGCTGGCTGGGCGCCATTTCTGGCCATGAATCAGCTGAGCGGCTCCAATGCTAGCGATTCGAGCTATCCGGGCTGCCAGGCTGCGACAAGTGGCAGCGCCTCCGTGCACATGCTGCGCCACATGGCGCTGCTGCAGCGGGCGAATGCAGCCGCCACAAAGCTGCAGCAGCTCCAGGAGCAGCAGCGGGAGGAGGAGGAGCAGCAGCAGCAGCAGCAGGAGCTGGATGTGGAGGTGGCAGCAATGGAGCCCATGTCACGCAACTTGATGCAAACGGAGGCCAATGAGGGTAAGTGAACCAATCGATATCTCTACGGGGATGTTGTTTATATACATAGTTCTAAAATTGGGAAGCTCTGCTCTTCAAAATTTTCCTTTTTCATCAATTTTTAACTGGCTGATCTTTTAAGTTCTTTGCCTAGTTCAATGATTTCTCTTTGATGGCCTTCGTAAGCGTCTTACAGGCAACTTTTTTGAATATTTTAAGCAATTATGTATATATTTTATTTATGGCTATCATGGAAATTTCGTTTTCCTTGTTTTGTATGTTTTTCACAAACGTTTTACTGACTCGTTTGTCACTCGTTCTATTGATTTCTCAAATTTTGCTCTCTTTATGGCATTTGTAAACTTCACTTAGCTTTTTAATTGCAAAAACTATCACAGATATATATTTATGATATTTCTCGTTAAGCAGTGGTATTCTCATTTTGCTTTCCATATTGATGCTTTATATGATCTTCGTAAACGTTTTACTGGCAGCTCCATACAATTACATACATCATAGATCGTCATAAATGATCAATTTGCAAACATTTGTAGAATAACTTATTGTTTTCCGCATTTCCACTGTGAATGGCATTCGTAAACGTTTTACTGGCAGCTCCAGTCCTCTGTCAAATTTCAATAATCATCGTAATTATATACATATATATGTGCATACAAAGGTGTTATTTAATCAGTCGATAGGCAATAGCAATGTACATATACATACATACATATATTATATACATAGTTACACAAGTATTTATTAAGTTCGCATTTATGAGAAACTGTAAACTAGGTGCTAATTGAATTATTTTATCGTTGAGTGACTTTAAACAACGCTCCAAACCAAATTGCCAGCATTACAATAGCAACAACAACAGCAGCCAATGGCAAATCAGCTCACATACACACACACACACACACACACACACATGTGCAGTCACTCATACAGCTGTATGCATAAAGCACATATACATATGTACACATACATACATACATATTGTGCACGCTCATTAATTTGTACCAAGCATTTTGGCAGCGACGCCAACAACGACTGCGACGCCGACAGCGACGCTGCGCTGGAAAGCACAAATCCGGACAGCAACAACAACTGCGAAAAACGAAATCCAGTTTTGTTATTGTTGTTGGCGCCCCGGCGCGCACTTTATTCAATTTACCAATAAAATTTCAATCGCATTGCTCTTTTTAATCAATTCGCTGCGACACGCACACCAACACCAACACCAACAACAACAGCAACAACAACAACTATGCATAATTTGTTTGTTGTTATGTTTTTTGATCAATTTTTAATCAACAGCAAAATTTTTCGCTGGCGCCGCGACGCCTGCAGCGGCCATTTGTGACAATTTCGGCTGTTGCTTTTTTGCTCTTCGCTCTCTCTCTCTCTCGCGCTCTTCGTGTGTGTGCGTGTGTGTGTGCGAGAGCGGCAGAGAAGTGCCGTTAGTGATGTTGCTGTTGCTGTTGTTGTTGCTATTGCTTGTTGTGCCTAATTAAATTTGGTTGGCTATTTTGTGCGTTTTATTTTTAGCTATGCAAAAATAATTTGGCACTTGCGCGCGGCCGAGCGACAGAGAGGGAGAGTGAGAGGGAGCGAGAATGGCTTAGCTAAGCAACTGTAAGCAGAGCGAGTGAGCAGGCAAGCCGAATAGGCAATGCAAAACACATGAAATTGAACGCATTTAAGCATGTGCCATGCGTGTTGTGTGTGCTAAATAATGTTGTAGATGAAATTGAAGATGATTCGAGGAAAATGGATTTATTAAGGAATTGAAAAAATTGGACTCTTACTTATAGTCTTATCTATTTCATGTTTATATTATTACATGAGTTAACACTATCGACAATCTAAGGTGGCTGGAGAGTCCAGTCAGACATTCAAGGGGAGAACTGATTTGGGCCAGTTTATATTCGGACTACAAAGAGTTTAGATCTTTTGTTACCAAATTATATAAAATAAATTATGTCATTTTTTCACTCACGTAAGCAAATATCAATTAGTCATTATGGCAAAAAAGAATTACCACAAAAATATTCATAGTTTTTATATATTTCAAAAAATTTTCAAAAAAGCCAAAAAATGCCGAAAAAAATATGCTCATAATAATGGGAGTATTAAAATACAGTCGAGTCTCGATAATTTGTAACCCGCTAAATCAAAATTCGCGTTAAATCGAAAAAATTAGATTTTCTTTGAACAAAATTAATTCTAGATAATTCCCGATAACTTGAATTCCTGTGTAAATCGAACAAAAATATCGGGACTCGAGTGTTTTACTGAGACAGAAGAAATATTTACTTATGAAAATTAAAAATCATTCCACATAATGGAAACACAATATTGGGTATTAGGACTTTAGTCTCGAATTAAGTCCAGTCAATGCTAAAACTGAGATCCAATTACGCACCTCAGTGCTCAACTTGTTCAGCTACGATTAAGCACACGTATCTCAGCTCTCTGGCTGTTGACAAACATTCGGTAAACAAGAGAATTTCTTGATGTGGCAAAGAAACGGAACTCATTAGACATGCATAAGGGCAGCTGTGCAGCACTCTCGCCCGGACAGGTGAATGCATGCTTTTGTTTTCCATTCGCTCTGCCAGTTCAATTGCCACAATGCCAAAAATTTCAGATGCGAGTCTCGAGTCCTGTCATTAGAGGCGACTGCACTGCCCATTGCTCATGCGGCAACGCCCACGCATACATATTCAGTTATTGTTGTTGCTGCTGCTGTTGCTGTTGTTGTTGTTGTTTTGTTTTTGAGCCGCCTTTCGAATGCGAGGCGCTGCTGTTGGATAAACGGGCCAAGTAAAGTGAAGCAGTTCGTCTCATCCTACTTGGACGGGAAATTAGCTGCCATTAGTCATTTTTATTGTTTTCGGTCGCGGCCCCGACAACAACAACAACAACAACAATGGCCTAAGGAAAAACTTGGCATGGCCCAAATTGGGCAACAAACAATTTGTATTAACAATTTTTCCATTTCGGTCCGCGGTCCGTGGTCCGTGGTCCGAAGTGAAATGTCTTAATTATTTTGGGAGCTAACCGCCTCCTGCCCGACAATCCGAGAATCCGACAAGCCCAGCAAACATACAATTTTCGTTTACGACATTTTAATTAAGTTTTTCGTTGGGTTTTCCCTTCTTCTACTCCTCTTTCTCCTCCTCTTCGGCCGCTTCACTTCACTTTGACCTTCTCCCCTCTCTCACACACATTCTCTCTCTCTCTCGCTCTTACTTTTTCTCTTGTGGAAATTGAGCAAATTAATAAGAACGCCATTGGCACGCCCCGTAAAACGCCAGAGTTGCCCTATCCAATGCTCTCTATTAGCTGCGGCTGTAGCCCCGGCTTCTGCTCCGGCTGCTGCTGCTGATCATCATCAGCAGTGATCATCAGTGATGAATGAATTGAGCTGATCTCCTACTGCTCATTAGCCTCGCCGACCGCGAGCGCGTCTAGTAATTGCCATCATTTCTTTGGGGCCTACCTAGACCCTAGATTAATTGAAGTGGAGCTCGAACTGGAGCTGGAGCTGGAGCTGGAGCTGCAGCTGTAACTGGAGTCGGGGCCAGAAATGAGAAGCTGCTGAGTTGCGAGTTAGTCAATTGGTTGAATGTATCTAAAAATCAAAATAAAAAGAAAACTGGCAAATGGGAATGATTTCTAAGACGAATTAGAGATACACTTGAATCATATTAGAAACTGGGAACTGAACTGGAGTCACTTCTTTGAAATAATTTCTTTGTTTCTTCTTTGTTACGTATACTACTTGTCTTTACCCCTACTTTTCCCACTGTCTCTGTTGTTAAGAATCTTTGAATTCCACTTTGTGCTTTATCCTTGAACGTTAACATGCTTCAGAGCCTACTTAAATTCCACTTTGTCCTCTATCCTGTAACGGTTCCATCAATACCTTGCTTTAGAGTTTTTTTAGAGTTTCTTGAGTTCTTTTTGCACTTTATTCTTAAACGTGTTTTACTGAAAACTCCATTATTTCATTTAGAAAACATCGACTTGTTGACTTCAGTCAATTCTAAACGAAATAAGTGAGTTTCCTTTGTACTCTCTGTACTACCTCGCATCGCATGCGTAAACGTTTTCCCTAACCATTTATCATGAGGAGATTTGAAAGGTTTTGTTCAAACTGTAAGCAACTGTTTGGTCAACCCTTTGCGTAGAGTATTTGATGTAAACCCAAAAACAAGACTGGAAGCCACGCGAAGCCATCAACATCAGCGGCTAATGCGCATTTGTGCGTTTGGTCCGATTTCCACAGTCCACAATCGGCAGTCGGCAGTCCGATGTCCGGAGTCGGCAGTCCGATTTTCCCCATAATTAATAAACCGCTGAGCATTGAGAGACGTCATTCGTCTCGTTGGCTAATTGGTCGCTCGTCAGATGCCCAGCGAGACGATGAGCGCCGACGCTCCAAATGAGCTTTTGACGAGCGTTTTGCCTCGGGAAATGATAATTATTTAAGTGACTCTCATTTAAAGCAAGCAAAGAGCTGCCAAAAAAAAACACAACAACAACAACAAAACCAATGAAAGAAAATACTTGAAAGAAAACGGAACGGAACGGCATGAAACGAAACGAAACGAAACGGAACAACTGCAAATGGGGCGCCATATTATTTGCATAATTTACGAGGGCGACAACCCTGGCTGGGCCAATAAATTCACTCAATTTGCGTCCGTTCTGGCCAACAGCCAAGCAGCGCAATTTTTGGCAACGAGCCGCACAGCCCCAGCCCAGCCCCAGCCCCAGCCCCGAACCCTTCTTTAAAGCCGCAACCCAGCCACCGCCTCCCACTGTGTGGGCGTGTGCTGCTATTTAGCTAATAAAAATCAAAAGGCGTTTTGTTCGCTAAACTTAAATTGAAAACACTTCAGCCAAACAACAACAACAACAACAAGAAAAGGATAAACACTTCAAGGGGCGGATTTGGCTTAGGTAAAATAAAGCTCCCCAAAAAAGTTAAAAATTTCCCTCTGTCTGTC